AACACCGGTTGGGAAACACTGGTCTAGCCAAAGTAAAGACCTTTTGAATTCTGTACTGTTTTCAAGGACAGAGGGTGAGGGAGAGAAGCATGTACAACCTATTTGGGGGGAGGGCTATTGGGTTGTTATTTTTATTTTGATTATGTATTTTGTGGTTTTATATTTTGATTTTATTCTGTGAACCGCCATGAGACCTCTGGTTATAGGGCAGTATATAAACTCAATTAACAACAACAGACTCCAATTGAAATCAATGGGACATGAATATCCTGAACTGCCTGGGCCGTGTCCACAATTAGTACATTCATTGCCTTTCCCACTATCTGCTATGTTAAACCTGGTGCACACCAACCTTTGTCAACCTGGTGCCTTTCACATTTTTTTGCTACAACTCCCATCAGCCTCAGCCAGCACTAGACTGGGCTGATGGGTTATAATCCAAAATATCTGGAGGGCACCAGGTTGGTGAAGGGGGACAAATAACCTTATAGCTTGCAGAAGCCAGCATTGTTGCACAGGCCATACTGGGGCTTCTTTACAAGGGCTCACACTTTTAAGTCAGGATAAATGTAATTGTTTCCAATGAACGGTTTGTGACCAGCCTAATATATGTGTTTGTCTTGCCTCCTTGGTTAAGCTATCTTGTTGCTATTTAACCACACCTTCTTATTTGGACAAAAAGTGGCCATGGTGCCCATTCACTCTTAGAGGACAGAGGTTAACGGGAGGGAGGAGGAAACCAGAGAATAAATAGCTGCACAGATGCTAGGAGGTAGTGAGGGAGGAAAGATCTGTCACAAAAAGACAATTATAAAAAGGCACTAGGCTGCTCTAAAATGGCAATGGCATTAGGATATGTGTGGTCCAGTTAACAGAGTCCAAGGTCAAACAACCAGGAACAGCTGAAATCTAATTGTGAGCTTGACTCTTACTTTCCTTTCAGCCCAGTCCTAGTAATGTTTATGCAGATGCAAGTCCTGCGGAGCTCAATGGAGATCAGAGTCTCCTCTATCTCTGCTCACTTTCTGTCTTCTGCAATGAAGCAGTAATATTGCACAGAAGGAGGAATTAGATGCCAAACAAGTCTGAAGCCCATACAAAATGAAAAAGGATGAACAAGGGTTAAACATTATTTACTGCATCTGAATCCTGGACCTGCCATGAATTGTCCTTTCATTCTTCCAGCACAGTGAGTGGATAATACCAGGGTTCAGCAGCAAATAATGGAAGGTTTAGACCCAATGTTAATAAAGCACTAAGAAAAGTCAACACATAGTTATGGTAGGTGGAAGTTGGTGACTAACAGGAGGATGTGTTTGTATTTGCCTGTATGTATGATTAAACACTATGTGTTTGTTTAGGCTATGTAACGATCAGGTAGCTGCAAGCAGTTTCCTGTGCTTATGAAATTTAGAACCTGAAATTTAAGCAGGACTAAAACTGAAAGGTAAATTGCTCTTGTCTTTCAAAACCTGTTGCGTACCCTTTGATGCTCAGGTTCTAAAACCGTTACTTAAGTATATAGAAGTGCACTTAAGGAAAACCAAAAGAAAACAAGATCTCAATCTCCAGGAGGCAGAGAGAAGAGAGGAATCTGTCTCTTCCATGTGTGAGAACTTCAAAAGCAATCGTGAAACCTCACAAGACTGCTGGCGATTTTCTTAAAAGTCTTTGTGGCCTCTCTAAAAGGGGTTTTCTGTTGATTCATGTTGATCACGCCTGACAGCTAGCATTTCCGTTAATAATAATCATAAATAAACCAGACAAGGTCACCTGACCTGAAATGAGCATATCTACAGCACCATATCCATTATAGCAGTGTGTATCCATGACAGCAAATCAGGAAGGGTCCAGTGCTCTTGACACCATAGTTTAAAATAATAGGAAATGCCTTGGGTTCTTTGAGATAGATATGTATATTTAAATCGCAATGGCAATCTTTTATACATGGACAAGGATTAAGGGAAGGAGATCTGCCTTTAAGAGGGTAAAAAACTGAAGCAAGACTATTCTTGTCCATAAATTAATGCTAGCAGATTTCCCCATTCCACTCCAGTTTGAGCCTGGCCCACTGCTGCAGTCATAATCTTATGTTTATGTCCTCATAAATCTATTGACATGTAAAAGATTGTGCTTCCATCCAATATAGAATTATGACTTTATTGCTGGGGGGTGGGAATTCAATGAGAAAACATGCTATAAAAAGTGGAAGGCTTTATTTATTGACAATTGTTTAATGAGGGGGAAAAGATATTTGCATTGACTTTTTTCTTTTTTTTAAGGAATGACAAGGTGTTTAAATATGACCTGTTACTTCCAGGCTTAATTAGAAATGGGTACAATTCATTAAAAATGGTGGTCTGATAAAAATAGATGCATCCAAGCTCAAAATTAATCTTTAACCCCTCCCTCTTCCATTACACATTCCCTGCTTTGCACGGTTTAGTAAAGGTGAGCTACACACTTTGTGCCGAAGGTCAATGGATTCAAGATCTATCAGGGCAACAGGGCAAGTCATTCCCATCGAGTGTGTCTGAGTGCTGGAAGGGAGCTCAAGGGTCAAGCTGTCCCAACACTTGCATTATGCCAGGATTTTCTAGATCTAAACCATCCCTGACAGATGCTTATTCAGCCTCTTCTGAAAAAGAGGTGGATCCGGTACCATAACAGGAAAAATGTAACTAAAGTGTGCCAAGGATCAAATATATAACCAGAGTGTGCCAGCCTTGTAACAGAGCAAGTCCCATCCCTTTCTTGAGGAAGGATTTGAGAACATGCTCAGAACAAACATGACTCTACCATCTTGGCAATAGTAAACAAATCCTTTTTTGATAGGCCACATACCTTTTAGACCAGCCATGGCCAATAGAGTTCATTTGCAATTATAGGAAAGTAGGGCCTCCCATGAAGTGAGCTAGAAATGGAAAGTATATATTCCCCTCACCTATGAAGCCATTTCACAAGGTCAGGCAAAAATCAGCTCCATCTGATGTAGGTTAAAATTCTCCTTGCTACTCAGCCCGCTATACTTTGGTCATTAGTATGGGTGCCAGCTTTGTATTCTAGGATTATCAGCACACTGAGAGCAAGGGGTGAAGGGTGGGATGGCTTCTGTCTTGTGTGATCCACTTTTGCTTCACTGATTAATGAATGGGTCTCAGCTGGCACATTTGAAGAATATTATTTTACACTCAAAGTGGCAGAAGAATGTCTATGGCAAATGATGTTTGATTCATAATGTGCCTGAGCATTAGAAATACATATTCTGAACCTGTAATTACAAATTAAGGAGTAATTGCTGGATCAGCCTGAGGCCCATCTAGTTCATTATAAGAATCTAGGTGGTCTACAAGAAATTAACCAATAGTCCACTGCTGGAATGTGATCTCTCTTTTGCCTTGATGGATCAGTGGTCCAGAGGAAAAGGACTGGATGGCCTTTCCACCTATGCAGCCCTTCTAGTGGAACATCTACTTCATTTCTTGTCAATCCATCCACGGGGAATGCTGAAAGGTGGGATTGGATCACTAGCAAAACCCACAAATAGCTGAGAAGAGTGTGTAGCCAACTGGGATCAGAGGGAAGGGAAAGAGCAAAGTTGAGTTTCAGTCTTTCCATTGAACAGGGACATGTAGCGTATCTTCCCATGGCTGGGCTCCCAGCAACATCTAGAATGTCACATAACCCCCACTCCAGATCTTTGTAGTCAATACTATTGGAAGAGTCAGTATGGTATAAAGGAGAGAGAGTTGGACATTTTCCATTATACTACAGAGGGGTTTCTATGACTTGGGACTAGAGCCATAGGTTGAATTCCTGCCATGGAAGTTTTGGGTGAACATAAGGTTGTTATGAAGATAAAATGACTCATCTCCCACATACTGTCCTAAGCTATTTATCCCCTGAGGAAGAGGATAAACATGTGATAAATAAAACAAATAAGACAGTAGGTAAGAAAATGTCCTCTACAGAACCTGCTTTTCTCATTAAAACACATTCATTGGTAAGAACAAACAGGAAGAACGCCATTCTAAAAAGGGCACTGGGCTGGGTTGTTGAATATAAGGCAGAAATGACAAAAATAAAACAAAGCCCTAAGATAGGCTAATGATGGAAATTGGAAATAGTTATGTCTTTTTGAGAATTATTCTTGATGGTAGTCTTGAAAGAGTAATATTCTCATGCTCTAGTTCAAAATGCTTTGAGTCTTTGCTTTGGGCACAGAACAGTAATTCCCATCTGTACAGGTGAAGCAAAGTCTAGACAATTGAAGAATGGACCCTGAAAAATGCCCTTCCAGAGGAGGAGGAGGAGGAAGAGGAAGAGGAAGAGGAGGAGGAGAAGAAGAAGAAGACAAAGACGAAGAAGTAGAAGAAGGAGAAGGAGGAGGAGAAGGAGGAGGAGGAGGAGGAGGAGAAGGAGAAGGAGAAGGAGAAGGAGAAGGAGAAGGAGAAGGAGAAGGAGAAGGAGAAGGAGAAGGAGAAGGAGAAGGAGAAGGAGAAGGAGAAGGAGAAGAAGTCTGAAGATATCCAAGTCAAGTTGGTGCCCACCAGTTGTTTTGGTTTACAGTTCCCATCATCCTTGACCATTGCCTATGCTGATTGGGGCTGATGGAAGCTGGAGACCAAGGCATCTAGAGGGCAGCACCAGGCTGGAGAAGGTTGGTTTAACAGAAGACCTGGCATAGTCACATATTTACCCACCTAACAAAAAGCACAGAAATTCTCTGTTAATTTCCCCCAGCTGAACTTCCATGCCATGCAAGCAGTAAAGATGTTCTACAGTGTCACATATTATTCTAGCTCACAATATGGGCACATGTCTTGGTCTCCCAGGGCCGTTCATCCTCTTCTGCCCAATTCCTCCTGAGTTAATCACCTTAAAATGCCTTAATTTCCAATGGAAAAGTTTTTTGCATTCCCCCCAATAAGGTAAGTAACTCTGAAACCTACTCAGCAGGTCTCGGTGCTATTTCTCAATGTACAAGTCTAAGGACATACCTGTATTCGAACGCTTCTTTGGATTTTTGAGACTTCGGCACCTCCCACTGAGGGAGCTGCTGTTCTCGCTCATAGAGTCTTGTGCTGAGGAAGCACTTCCCGTTGCTTCACTGTCTCTCATCATGCTTTCATACCCGCTGCTTCCTCCACTGTGGTAGAACAAGGCTGTTTTCCCCATGGCAGGTGGCAGCTCCCCACTCAGGACACTGCTGTTGTCACTTCCGTGGCCACTGCTACAGCGGTGAGGTTTCCGAGGTGGAGTGATCTTGCTGTAAGGTGAAGGCAGCAGGTGAACAGTTGGCTTCTCTTCTCCGTGGACGGCGCTGCGATCATCTGTGTCTGAGTTCCTACGCAACTGCAGCCCTCTGGTGCCTGTGCTTCCTTGCAGAAGTTCTGAGATCCTCCCATTGACGGCTCTGAGGGGCAGTTTTGAGGAGAGCCCAGAGCCCCTGTTCCTGCTGAGAGACTGAGTAGACCAGGACATATTCTTTCCATTGGGAGGCAAGCCTGAACTCTGCCCCACAGACTGAGGGAGGGACTTGGTAGAGAAGCTAAGTGTTTTGGTGGTTGAGGCAGCCAGGCTTCGAGCCTTAGGACTTGCCAAGAGGAGCTTGCTCACTGCAGAGATCTTTGATTGACTGGCTTTTGGCGAGGCCCCTGCAGACTGAGAAAGGCCTGAGTTTGTGGGTGAGGACATTGCACTGCGGTTGAAACTTCTCCCAGCTCTGGGCATTGTGGTGTCTTTCCCAGGACCCATCTTGGAGCTGACAGAGGACAGACTCTCTGCCCTTTCCAAAGACAGGCACTCATAATGGCTCCCACTGGACCTTCCCAAGGAATTGGTTCTGCTGGCCAGCTGTTCAAGTTTGGCACTAAACAATTTACTGCTGCTATTGTTACCGCTCTCCATACTGGAACCCTTTTGTTTCCCATTCAGCTCATCGGGAAAACTAGCCAGGAAAGGGGCTGGTTGGTTCAAAGGGCTGCTGGTGCTGCTGCTGCAAGTGCTGTGCTGAGGGCTGGCCCTATTTTTCTGATCCAGGCTAGATTTCCTCACGGGAGGCAACGGCGGAGTTCCTTTTGGACGTGTGAGAACGCAGTGTTTGGGGGACGCAAACCTTCTTTCCAAGCTAGCTCTGGAAGTCTGGGACCCAACAGAACAACTAATGGCACTGTTCTCCTCAATGTAATGATAGGAAACAGCATCCAGTTCCTCCAGCTTGCTGGCCTTCTGAACGCCTCTCGTGAGGCTGCCATTTTTAAAGCTCTCCGTAGTGTGTGCTGGGCTGTGGGCTGTGGAACTGGGAAGTCCCATTTCACATCCATCTACAACCCTCTTCAGGTTTTCCGTTCCCGGGGAGCTGGAAGTCTCTCCGCTACTGCTGCTAAACCTGTCTGCTGACTTCTGCTTCTTATTTTGTTGAGTGATGGCTTCAGCCTTGGGGCCACAGCTTTCTTTTTTCACACTGTCTTCCCTCTTTAGCCAAGGATCATCAAATTTTATCTCTTTTCTTACACTGGATTCCTTCACCTCTTGAGGCTGGGGAACTTTTGCTGGTGACGACACTGCAGATACGGTCTCAGGCGGCTCTTGTGCCTTAAAGGGATTAACAGCAATACATGGATACACAGTAATGTTGGTCTTCATTGGAATGAAACCTTCACAACTGCTTAGGCTTGTGGTGTTTGATATTGTGACCATAGTCTTTCCCAGGGCTGATATTTTACAACCTTTGATAGGTGACATTTTATTAATACTTTCGTCGGCAACCTCTGGCAGTACAAATATTTCCTCGGTGACTGGCTTTTGCTTGTCATTTATACAAACCACACTGCTGTTCTGTACGCCTCTTGCCAGTTCAGGAATGGGCGCATCTGCCAGTGCTTCCCCATGCCCATAGCATGCTTGGGCTATAAAGCTGTGGCATGACTGTTCACCATCACTGCCGGTGCTCATTTCGCTCAACCACGAGCTGATAGAGGAACGTCTGCTTTCAGCCTCTTCAGCTTTGTGATCCAGTCCCATTTTTGGAAGAGGCATAAACTGGGTGATACTGACCTCAGACACAGGAGCTGTACTGGCATAGCATTCAAGATCTTCACTGATGCTGCTGATAATGCTAACCGGCCTAGACCCGGAGGCCAGAGCTTGCACAGAACAATCACTGTTAAAGCTGATGATACTTGTTGGACGTCCGTTCTCCAGAACCCCACTAATGGTCAGTTCTTCAACCAGGGTGAATACCAGCTCATCTTCTCCATTCAGCTCTAAGGGCTGCTGCACCGTGACCATGGTGGTGCTCAAAATCTCCTTCTTTGACTCAGGAGAAAGAGGCGGCTCTTGCTGCTGCTCCTGCTGCTCTTCGTTGTCAATGAGCTCCCCATAATCAGCACTGCTGGAAGACACAGACTTTTTCATGAGCTGGGGGCTCATGCCAATGGGAGGAGTGCGGATCTCTGGCTGCATCAGAGACTCACTGGACACCATCCCGGAGTCCTTGCTTAAGGATGAGGGTGGTGGTGCAGGGTTGGGCAGCACCCCTTTCTGGGTGTAAACCTTGCACCTCTGAGAAGGAGAAGTGGGCGGCTTGTACTCGGATGTCTTGGAAAGGCTTGCAATACCAAGCCGTGGGGAACCCATGGGCCGAGGCTTGCTTTCTACAAAGCCGCAAGTGTTCAGGCTTTCTCGGCTGCTCTGCAGATCCGTGCTGTGGGATTGCTGGGAACAGTTTGTGTGGCTACTTGGACTGCCTGTAACACTCCTAGGTGATGGAGGGGTGGGTGCCTCATTAAGCACCCCAGTGTGAACAGGGGAATGGCTTCCCTGAATTTTGTTGGCTGTTGCATTCAGGTTTTCCTTGAAATCTTTATCAGGTTCTTGGCAGCCTGCCAGGCCTTCTTCTGATGCACTAGTGAGCTCTGCTGCTTGGCCTGACACAGGGCACTTAGTCACTTGGTCGGAGCTGAACTGAACAGGCAGTTCTTCAAAAGGAAACGTGTCAGTCTCCTCACTGCCGTCAATGCAGTCTAACCTCTCCTGGAGTTCCGCAAATGTATTGCACTTCAAGCAGTCTCTCTCAGAAGTGCTGGGCGCTGTCTCACTCATGTCCTCCAGCTTGCCTTCAGTTTTGGTCTTCTGAAGGGCAGGAACTATGGGGACAAAATCGGGGGGACCTTCGTTGTCAGTCAGTTCCTTGTCCGAAAGGGCTGTGCCGTTGGGGCCAACGTAAATGACGGTGTCGCATGACTGTTCGCTGCTAGAAGAATAATCTGGGTCACTTGACAAGTGAAGAATGGGGAAGTCTGGATCAACAACATTCCGAGAATGGAAGGGCCTCAGCTGGGTTGGCCTCCGCATCCTCCCTTCTTCACAAGAACTTTCTCCTCCTGAAGAGCTTGATGTGTACTGTTGGGTAGGAAGACAGGGGAAAGGTTAGCATTTCGAAGAACCCCCCCCCCTTCCATGGAGCTGAAATCCACACCCCATGCTCTCATATAAGCCTTCATGCATGCAGAGGCTACTGCAAAACCGGGCATGGAGACTGCTTCATTCAACATGCAGTAGAGTGCTATGTGAAGCTGGTGGCTTCTGGCATCAGGGATAAAGCCGCCAAGTCCACGTGGCAGCTTGCTGTACAGAAATGGTTTAGCATTTCAAACAGCTCCATGTGCTTGGATTTAAGCAGCTGTCATACTGCTCTATTTGTTCATACAGGAGCAGTTGGTGGGGAGGGGACTTGCTTACTGGGAGGGAGAAGGGTGAGGCAGTGGGGAGCTGGGCACGGTGTGGATGCACCAACAGGAGGGGCAGATTGGCTCCGCAGGTGCATCTGCACAGCACTGACCTCCCCAGGGCCTTGCCCTTCTCCTTACTGGGAAGCTGCAGTGACTCTGGACCACAGGTTCAAGCTGACTTCCATCCTCACTCGCAGCTCCTCTGTTCATGCACACTGGGATTTAGCAGAATCACAGAGAGTAAAAACAAGTTCTAAAGTGAAATGAAAACCAATTTATTTCAAACATGTTACTTTTATAAGGTTCTCCTTCATTCCTTTGTTGTGAGTTTTGTCAATATTATTCCCATTTTTCATATGAAAAACTGAGGTTGGACAGTAGTGATCTGCCCAAGATAACATGGACCAACTCCTTATCATGGAGGGCTCCAACTCATGCGCTGTCAATAGTATGGTCTTCATGCCTGTTTATAAATACCCTATACAGTCAGACAGCAATGTCACTTACTGGGGTATGTTGTTGTGCAGTTATATTGAGGAAAAATGCCTGATGCTGCAATTCTTCTGCTGAACTCAGTGAGTTGCTCTACCAACTAAATATGTGTAAGATTGGGCTGCATGCCACTTTGATCCCAGTGTTCCTTCTGACAGTTGTTAAAACAAATTCATTAAAAAGCCTGCCATGGCATTCTTGCAATTATTTACTCTGAAATTCATTCACTGATCACAGTGGAGTTACTTTAGATGGATGACTGAAGTCTACAGCTAAAACCAAAGGCTAATGATGTTGAGCTGAAACATATAGTTGAAAGTGGATGAGCATTTAGTAAGCAACACCCATCACTTAATTAGGTGGCTGGGATAAGCACACTTGGAAGTGTATTTCGCTAGAATCAAGGGGGCTTACTTCTGTGATTACAGCGGTGGAGATGAAAGCAGAAAAGGAAGAATGAGAAAAAACAAACCATGCCTCCCACGTCTTTCTTCCATTAACTATATAAAAGTGGGTTCACCTCTGCATTTCAGGATGCAGGGGAACACACTGATCCTCTAGTCCAGTTTACAGCAACAAAAGCTCAAGTAATACTAACATTTCCTAGATTTTAATAATGCCAAATAGATGCGCTCAGTAACTTTCTGAAAAATCTCTAAGAAAGGATTCCACTACTTCTCTGTCCAAGTTATCATTTTTTTTATTATAGTTAATATGTGTTTTCTGATACACTTTAACACAGTGGGACTTTCATTTTATTTCTTTATACATTTTATGAGCCTCCTTTCAAAGTGATTTCCACAAACTACTGAAGCCAATATCAAATGAAATAACAATTCAACCACTCCCAGCAATAAAATATAAGCAACTAGCAGCATAATACATGTTGGCACAGAAGGAAGTCCTATTGAGGTAAGTATTGGATTGCAGCCTTAAGCTGCAATAAAAGCTGATTGCCTGCTTGAGAGAAGGAAGTTTCCAAAATTAAAAAGCCGTTATCTGCTGACAGAAATTATCCAGAGTAGGAACAAGGCAAGTCTCCTTAGAGAGGCACTTCTACCAAGTCCTGATCCCACATGTCTAACTTCAAAAAGAAGTAAAACGTCTCAGTGACTGTGAAGGAACATACTCTCCATACTAAAGTCCTAGGCAACTAACTTTCACAGTTTTACTTAGTTGTTGCAAATTTTAATTAATGTTCAGTTTTATTTAGATAGTGGCTAGAGAACAAGAGATATAAAATAACGTGTGCTGGATCAACCTTTTCTTGCTGTAAATGCATGTTAGCTTCTGATTTTTGTCAGAACTGAGCATTGGTATATGCAATCTTCTCTAAAAGAACTATATAGAATTCAGATCAGAACACCAAGCTTCTCAATTTCCACTCTCAAGATAAAATATCATGCTTCAAATGCACTGGCTGAATTAGTACCACCCAGACCACATCAGCTAGTCTTTTTTTTAAAAAAAAGTTTGTGCTCATTGTAAGGTTAATGAGGGAAATGCTATCAAAATTAACATTGGTGTCACACACTACAGCATGCTCTGTTGCAGAGATCTCTTCTGGGAAGAGATTGTTGTGCAGTGATATTTTGTAGAATCTGTTAATTGATCTCAGCTCACATTTAACAATCCTTAGGCTGCTAATGTGAATGATGTTAATAAATTATTCCAGCTTGACTTTTAACCAGGATTCCATGCTACATAGACTTCAAGAAAGCAACATCAGAGTTTGAACTCTGCCATTTCTGTGTCTATTATAACCAATCATTCATCTAACAATGAACATATGATTTCCCTCATGCACTCGGATGTACTGCCATACCATCAGAAATTAAGAATATTGATTTTTGTTAGAAGCTGCACTTTCAAGGCCTCTCCCATTTCTTTCGGATCCCTAGCTTGTCATACTCTTTCCAGAGCACAGCAACAAAAGAGTTTCCCCCGTGTCCTTACCTTTGTTTTCTTTTTCTTCATTCTTAAAACCCTGGATGCAATCTGGATGGTGGAAAGTGTTTCAGCATAGTTCCCTGCAGCTGCCGAAATGTGAGCTATCATGGTAGTACGGCAGTTCATGTTCCCAAGGGACTCCCGGAGCAACATGGTCAGCTTGCTGTCTCTGCAAAATAAAAAGAATTAAGGCTACATTAGTGAGCCATGTTTCACTTCGACTGTCGGGATGTGACTCCAGGTCTCAGCAAGATTTCTTCCTTTTTAATGGAATACTAATTAGCATTGTTCTTCGGGATTCTAGTGCACTACATCTGCCTCTGAACAAGCTGGAAAATCCCTGCACTGAAATGGAGAGGCTCTTATCTTTCAAGGGTTTTCTGCCTGTCTTGTTTTCCTAGCACATTTTCAGCAGTATTTTAGCACTGGAAGCCGCCTCATCGCCAGGAACCTACTCTGGGCTAACTAGTTTTAAAAGAAAACCCAGCTGTATTTAAAGGCACAGAAGGATCAGGCCTTAAAACACATCACGAGTTTCACCTCTGCTCATTCTTTTTGATGTCTGAAGGTGGAATTAGTTTGTCCCATTTTCTCCCTGTCACACACTGAGTCACTGAACGGACTCATTTTTAGAAGACCTTGCAACCTCCGCCTCTCCATCACTTCCAATGATTGTAATGAGACCTGCAAATGGTATTGCATGGCAATTGCTTTGGCACTGAAGAAACTCTGCTAACATTATCCATTAATGCAACCCCAATTATTACTGCAGGCGATGGCGTGCCATCAAAAATTCAACAACAAAAACTTATTTAGAATGAATTTTTTTTAAAAAAACAACCCCAAACCAAACCCTGCCTCTTGTCAGCAGTGCACAAGACAATTCAGGAGTAAAACAGTCACTGTGTTATGTGATGATAGTGGGAACCATTCATTCTATTAATGCAGTTAACAAGGGTACAATTCACCAGGCACTTGTCCTTTGAGAGCCCTATGGGAATGGATGGGAATTATGCTCCCTCCATAATAATAATAATAATAATAATAATAATAATAATAATAATAATTTATTATTTATACCCCACCATCCTTAGTTCCCTGCAGAACTCAGCAGGGAGGAGGATGTGGACAAAACTAAAATTAGTTGGCTCCAAGGCCAGCCATGAGGCAAAGTAAGGCAACTGGGTGTCAGGATCCACAGGGGCAGCAAATCCGGCCTCCAATGAATGCACGGCCTGAGGTTGCTGCAGCAGTGGCAGCAGTGGCTGTGGGACACTCCTTGGAAGTCAGATCTGCCTCCTCCTCTGCAATGTCCACCCAATGCTGCCTCTACAGCTGCCTCTTGGTGAATAGTAGGCTCTACTGGTATCCTCACACCCCTAGGGAGGAAATAGCAAAGGCTGCCGTCTAGGGTCTCCTGGGGCCTGCACCCACCTGGTGTGATTGGTTCTGGCACCACCTAACATTGGCTTCCCTGCCCTACCAGAACCAATGAGCACCAGCCTCTACTGGTACTTCCCCCTGCTGCCACAAGGGGTAATTTGCTGGAACTGCTTGCTGTGAGGGAGTGGGATACTAACACACACACAATAGAGTTACTATGTGCAGATATAGTAGCTCTAGTGTTTGTGTGTGTGTGTGTGTGTGTGTGTGTGTGTTTGCAGATAAAGTACAAGTTAAGCAAATTGCTTCCTGATTATTTTTCTTAAGAGAGAGAGTCTAAAGACCCTGGCTGCAAGACATATTGCTATCCTAAGTAGATCCATTCAGCAGCAAATAGCTCCATTTCATCGTGTCTAAACAAAGCATCCACCAGAAAGTCTGAAAGTTTCCCCAGAAAGTTCAAGTGCAACCTTCTGTTTTGTACAGAATCTGCCAGTTCTCAGCTTCCTGTGGGGAGAGCTAGTCAATCCCTCTACAGTATTTGATGGCATGTGATGTAAACAAAAGTCCATTAAGATGACAGCAAGGAAAAATGCATTCATTTCTCTGATTCAGCTTTGAATCCACACAGACCAAGAGATAAAAGGCTGTTGTGCAAGCTTTGTGCATCATCTCTTCACCAAGGAATACTGCAATCTCAAATTCTGTGCAAGAGTAACCACTATTCCATGGATGATGTACACAGAAATTATTAACATCTGTATGGAAATCGATACCAAGCCTTTCATTTACTCATGCGTCCATCAAAGCACAACACGGAATGACAGTGCAAAAGGGCAACAGACTACATCTAGGTCTCATGAGAATAACTAAGTCATGCAGCCATCATCAGCAAACTGGTGTGGTCTTCCTTGAGACTTATAAATGATGGATGTGTGTGGGTCACCTGAACCCTGAATTACGCTGAAGTGCTGTTGGAAGAGAGATGATATTACGCACATTCCTGTGCTACATCTATTGAGATTGTGCTTATAAATAACAACAGATGATTTTAAAAACCAGCAATGTTTCATATTCGATTCAAAAAAAGTCTAGCATTATCTTGATAATCTTCCCTTTGCTGTAGGCTACAGTTAGCTGCCTCCTTTCTTATAGCTAGCTACACAGCTTCCCAAAAGAAAACTACAAAGGAAAGGTTACTAATCATGCAATTTGCAAATATTTTGCATTTTATATTCAAGATCTGGACCTCCCAATTCAATGGTTCAATTATCTCTTTCAATAAGATATGCTAATGATGTTTTTAAAAAACCCCACACAGAGACAGAAAAAAATGCCATCAGACACAAGCCACCTAGTAGTTGCTGCCTCTGTTCCTTTGATCTTGCAGCAGTTTAAATCTGTGGATTCTTTTTTTCTTTTTAATCACACCTATTATATTTCAAAATATACCTACAGATAGGTATACAAATGCCCAGGGCATCTGTATTTTTTTGAAAGCTGATTCTATCCCTCTGTCAGAATAAAGGAAGATGGGTGCTTTATTTCAATAACGAAAATAAGCCAATATTCTTCAGAAGCTAGGTTATTTCTAGTGGGGTAATCAAAGGTACTTTGAAAAAGGATAATTGTTATGTAAAAAATACCCCACAAAACATTTTATATCAAAAGATATTTCTGCTGACTTCAACTTTAATAAAAGTAGCATACCAAAATATGGATCAAAACATTCTGAAGATGGCCTTTCAAGATGGCACAAATCCCCTGTCCTAAATTACCCTTGTGTGACAGCAATTCAGTAGCTCTGTTCCCAAAGACGCAGTTAGAATTCTGTGTTGTGAGGAATATAGTTATAATTAATTAATTAATTAATTTGTACACCACCTTCAGTCAAAAATCTCAGGGTGGTTCACAGCATAAAAATAGAAAATAAAAACACATAATACATAATAAAAATAAGAACAAAAGCAAAACAAACCAATAGCATGCCCCCCCCCAAAAATATTTAAAAAGACACAGAATGTTAATCAACCAAAGGCCTGGCTGAAGAGAAACGTGGCACCTAAAGATGTACAATGAAGGTGATAGGCAAGCCTCCCTGGGGAGAGCATTCCACAGATTGGGAGCCACTGCAGAAACTATCGCAAGCCCTGTAATCACCTGGTCCCTGCCCACCATCTAATGTTGTTGTTGATTATTCAGCCAGTTATTGACTATAGCCAAACTACCCTTTCTAGGGAAGACACTTCAATATTGTGGATCACAGATATTGACTTTCTGACTGCTGTGAGACTGCTCAAGTTGTACAAGGGATTACTGCCAGGCTCCTCAAAGGAATCAAGGGCTTCCATTGCTGGGACCATGCCAGATGGGACAAGTGAACAAGTGCTCCTTTGCACACTAGGAATATTTGGCCCTTTAACAGCCATCTTCTTTAGCCCAAATGGGGTGGACCTTGGGGAAGGTGGACCGGAGGAAGCTAGGCCTTAGTTCACCTTCTGCCTCTGTCACAGCAAATTGCTCACTTGAATCTATCCATGGTGCTTCAGCCACTGTCCTGCCTTGCTGCTGTGGGAATCTGGTATGGACAGGTCAGAACAATTAGTTCTGATACATATATTTTAATTTTGCTGGAAGTGGAGCCTTGCAAGGAACAGGACTGATGGTGAACAGGCCCCAGTAAGCTGTAGAGGGACAGAATTGCCAGTCAGCTGATGGGTTTGAGCCTTCCCATGCCACTCAAGGATACTTTTAAAAAATGCAAATATGTAATTGACATTGAAATAATAAAACTGCCTCGGCTATACCATTTTGGGTTGCAGGTGGGTACTGGGCCTCCATAAACACACACTAATTATTATTAGAAATATTATAGTCTAGCCGCCTCCTTGGCATGTTAGTTTTTCTGTGTGCAGGAATCCTTTTACAGTCAGGGAGCCATCCCACCCTGGGAACCCTTATCGGCAAGCCTGAAGTGCTGCAATCAGAAGCCCAAACACAAAGCTGCTACCTCATTGAGAACTAGGATTCAGTATGCTTCCCTCCTCGCACCTTGAGCTGAATGTGAATGATCATAAAGGAGTGTTCTGTCTGTGATTGTCAAGGTGATTACTAAAAAAAGAAGATGATGAACAGCACCGATTTCATTTCCAAACGAAAAAGGAAATATACAAAAGAATGGGAACCAAGTTAAAAACATTGGCTCAAGATTCCCCTGTCCCTAGGAGATTATTTAGACAATTTTATGTATTTATTCCAGGTCTAAAACATATTAAGTCATAAATATTTTATCTTTCCTTCCCCCCCCCTCTCATTCTTCCTTTCCATCTCTCGTAGGACTCTAACCAATAAAAAAACAGGAATGCAAACATTGGTGACAGCAAAATTAAAGCTGAAAACAGAACCTTATTTTTTTTATTAAGCCATATAACATGCCATGGCATGTGTCCCTACTCATACAAATCACATATCATGGTTTCTTGCTAGGCAGCAGGCCAATGGCAAATGCTATTAACCACCTAGGTGTGTGATTATTACATGATAAGGCGTTGTACGCCCTTGAGCCTGCTGTCATACAGTAATTTATTGGCAGAAAGTGAGCAAATGTTAATATATTTCATGTAGTCAGTAAATATAAACATTATGCCTGCACCTGCTTCTGTCTGTATTAGTCAACTATTAAGAAAAAGTCAATACTCTTCAATAGGAGGGTCAGGTTAAACATCATGTTACTACACAAAATGATGTTTGTGGTGTTGTCTGCAAGTTTAGATGCCTTTGATAAAA